TCATACCCAAAAGGCCTAGAAATAATTCGAAACTAGAAAGAGGCCCAAGTAGTAAGGCTACCTGTGGCTCTTGCTGAAAAACATTTGCCAGTCTGATGTGCGTGTGTCTAGAAAGAATGGTAGAAAATAAAGAGTTCTGCTTGAGTTCAGGAGAACTTCCCAGAAGGAGGTGGTGGGCCAAGAAATCCACCTGCCTGCTTGGTGGCGGCTCGTGAAGGGGCAAGGCCGAGAATCTTCTGAATGTTCTGTGAAGAAAACAGAGTAAGGATAGGGTTTTAATATCAAATATACAGAAGATGTATTTTATGTAGCTCTCAGGCAAAGGAAACTCATATAGATTAAAGGTATCATTATGACCTGCAATAGGATGATTATCACTATGTTAATTTTAAAAAGGCCTACAATGTAATGAAAATCACAGAACAGTAAAAGCCTTCCTTACCTGATGAGACCTTGGTCTACTAATGAAAGTGGTTGACTTTTTTCAAGCAGACAATGATAAAAGGAGATAATCTTTTTAACAAGAAGCATATGAAGAATATTCATTAGCTATTTCTTATGGGCATTTTCTTTGAGTATGGGTCTGCTGGCTGGATTTGTCATTACTGCACTGTCTATAATTTTCAGTTCTGGCCAGGTGTGGTGGCTCACGCCTGTAATACCAGCACTTTGGGAGGCCAAGGCAGGTAGATCACTTGAGGCCAGGAGTTCAAGACCAGCTTGGACAGGATGGTAAAACCCCATTTCTACTAAAAATACAAAATAATTAGCTGAGTGTTGTGGCGGGCACCTTAAATGCCTGTAGTCCCAGCTACTCGGGAGGCTGAGGCAGGCGAATCACTTGAACCCGGGAGGCGGAGGTTGCAGTGAGCCAAGATCACCTCACTGCACTCCAGCCTGGGTGATAGGGTGAGCCTCTGTCTCAAAAAAAAAAAAAAAAAAAATCATTCCCACAGCAAGATGGAGGGTGAACTGGAGTCAGGAGAACTAGAATAAAGGAGACTACCTGGTAGGCTATTGCAGAAAAATTAAGGGGACAGTGATAAGGATCTGAGTCAGTGTTGGTGACATCCCCACATGGTATTCTCTTCCCAGTAGGTCTCCTCCCTTTAGCCAACAAGTGTGAAGTGTTAAGGGGGCAATGTCACTGCAGAGCATGTCCCTGCCAGCTCCACTATTAGCTAAAAATTAAATTGTTTCTGGTAACAATTTTACCTGCCCATCTTTTCACAAATTATGGGGCTTATGACTGGGGTTAAACCCGTAAGAAAATCTCCATATAGCTTAAATATGCTTTTTTGTGCAAAGCCTAGAAACCCATCAAAATGCTATATAAAGTAAAAGAGAAATCTCTAAAAGTTGGAAATAAAACAAATGTAAATGTATATTCTGCTGGCAATAACCTTAAAGAAATCATTCCAGATAACTTGAAATCTCAGTATTTGGACTGTGAACTCATAGTGTGATATACCTTACACAATCCTCCCTGTCCTCTACCCCACAAAAACAAAACTTAACCTATTTTCATTAACTATATTGTTGGTAATGTTTATGTTAATATTCTGAGACTTCTGAGTGTATATTCTTAGCTTATACTAATGAATAATTGTGTAATATTCTAATTATATTAGCTGGGTGCTGCAAATTGGAATTCTCAGTATAGTTTGATAAAGGAGACACAGACCAAATAAATTAAGTAAAAATTCTGTAGCCCTGAGTATCAGTATAACTTCGTGCTGTATTTTATATTAAAACAACAACAAATAATATCGATGTTAGTCCACAGAAAGGACTAGAAACCTAAAAACCCAGTCTCAACATTCCTAGTGCTCTGATCGCAATCGCCAAATGCCATTTTCCAGTAAAGAGGAAACAAGCCTCTTTGAAGAAATTGTTTTCAAGTCATGCAGGAAATACACAAGATGAGCCTTAGAACATCTTGTTATATCACTTAGCAAGGATGCTACCAATGACAACGAGGGGCATGCAAATAGACTCAGGAGCCAAATGAAAGAGGCTCTCACTGGCCAAAAACGGGCCAATTTGAGCATTCATAAGAGAAATAGCTTCAGTGGACTGAAGTACATCAAATATATTTAAATGCATGAATAGATAATGACATACACATTAATTATTCACTATTGGAGGATATTAATAAACAGCTCATTATTTTGAAGACCAAGGAGTTAAGCATTTATTCTTAATTTTCTCCCAAAAAGAAGATGAGGGGAAGTTTCTATCTAGAGGCATTTTAGATCATAAATGAAGGAATACTAGAATTAGAATACCATCATTTTTAATACCTCATTACCATCATTTTTAATACCTCATTAATTAATAGATCAAAAACTGCTCACATTACAGAGACAACCAATAGTATGAAAAAACCAGCATGCAATCACCAAAATCCAAACTAAGAAAAACTCTACAAGGTAAACAACACTTCTTCAACAAATATATTGTAAGAGGGCAGAGAGATGCTGATAAACCAACAGGTAAGTGAACCCAAACCTGCAGCTTCAGCATCACCTGGGAATTTGTTAGAGATGCAAATTCCCAGACTCTATAGCAGGACTTACAGATCACCAGCTCTGGAGTGGGGCCCAGCAGTTTGTGTTTGAACAAGGCTCTAGTGATTCTGATACACTCTAGTTTGAGGACCACAACAATAGAAGAAATTTAGGATGCGTATCAGCCAGCTGCAATATTCAGTACCTTATTTGGTTCCTTATTCCAAAAAACTGCCAAAACTTTTTACATCTATAGACAACATATAATATTAAGAAACTATCCATTTTCTTAGGTGTAAAAATGGTATTAAGATTATACATATTTTTTAAAGCCCTAAAATATTTACAGATGATAAGATTTGCTTCCAAATAATACAGGAAGGGCAAAAGCAGGTGGGGTTACAGATGACACAAATTAGCTAGGAGCCAATAATTGTCAAAGGTGGAGGATGGGTTACCTAGGTGTTCTTTATTCATTCATTCTCTCCCTCTCTCGCTCTTTCTCTCTCTCTCTCTCTATATATATATGTATATATAATAGTATATTTTTGAGATTTTTTTATTCTAAAATTTTTTTTAACTCAAACTAGAATAAATTAAAACAAAAGATTATGACTTAAGCAGAATTAATCCAAAAGAAGAGAAAGTATATAGTACTTTTACTTAAAGGGCAGTATTGAAATACATAAAATAAGTATAAATAGTCTGAAAAAAACCTACTCCATACTAGTTGTGGCAAAATGCTTTTGTTTAAGAAGTAAGCGCGATCTAAGCTCTATCAATTGTCTGATGTCATTTTAAGTAACTGGCCCCATTGGAGAGAATGACTTACCTGGGAAGAAAGAGGTCCAGTCTGGTAAAGGGCATATGAATATCTACACATATTTGTTTTCCAATTTCCAAATTAGCTTAGCTTTTAGAATGTAACCTGTTAATAAACTCAGGTTTATCATCATTTTTAAAAGTTTACCACTTCAGCATATTATGATTGCAACCTGAGTAGACTAATGCAGATATTAGTAACGGCTGTTTTTTTTTCCCCTAGACAGGAGACAATCCATGTCTTACAACATAGGGAAAATAACCAAATTATGTGTTATGAGAGAGGTTCAGAGGCCTGTCTTGAAATGTCATCTCCAGTGATCTGGTGATGCTGTGGACCTAGAGTGTCATCCAAATAACTAGTCTTGAAATTTCTTCAGGACAAGAAATTTTTAAAAAACTAATTGTGAGGCTACAGTAGCCCTTAATAACTCCTTAAATTTAATTGTTGTGACAGGTTTACTTCCTCTGTAATATATCTTTGTTATTGTGCTTTTAAGAATAGAGTGAATATTCATAAGCAGAATAGTTCAGAAAAAAATTTAAAAGAATTTTTTAATGATATAGGGTGAATAGATGTAATCTCTCCTTTTTAACTTCTCCCTCTTATTTATTCTTTAGCATGGAAACATAATTTGTATATGAAAACCTGGTCCATAAGACATCTGATTAGAAAGCACCAACTTCAAAGCCTCAGGGTATGAGTGATAGAGTGTGCTATACATTCTCACTTTAAAAAGGTGATGGCAGAATTCTGAGGATGGTTTCATGTTTTATTTTAGATATTTCACATTTGTCTTTATTGTTATTATAAGCATAATTTTCTTCATTATCATTCAAATTATTATTTTGCTTACAGTGGTCAATGATATGGAGAAAAGACCATTAAAAGTCATCACCATCCATTATCAGACATCATTCTGATAAAAGTAGTCTCAAAATAGGGACTTCTGTTCCCTTTCATCTGCTTTGAGCTCCTGCTGTGTTCCCACCCATGTTGACTACTTTGTAAAAAGGAGGAAAAAAAAGACAAAGTCCAACTTTAGAGAGCTCTAGTTGAGGAGATGAGGTGATGAGAAGAGAATCACCACATACCTATGAGGAGGCTGCAATATAGAGCTTGACAGCCTGGACTATTCAGCTTTACACTGGTTGAATTCCAATCCTGACTGCCACTCAATAGCTCTGTGATGCAGAGCAAGTTACTAACCTCCCCTACCCCAGTTTCCTCATCTGTTAAATGAAAGTAAGAACAGTAATTACCTTGTAGAGTTGTCTTGGGATAATCTTTAACTTAGATAATCCATAAAACACTCAAATTTATCCACATATTATATCCATATATTTTATTTCTCTGTTGACCACTGTTTCTTGTATCCCATACCTTTGCCTTGGGCAGACTCTTCTTTTTTGTCCTTGAAATGTAACCTTTAATAATTCAATTCTCTTAGTTTTATATGTCTAAACATGTCTTTATTTTGCCTCCAATATTGTGCATAAAATTCTAAGTTGACACTTATTTTCCTCAGCACTTTGAAGATATTTTTCCACTGTCTTCTGGACTTTACGGTGCTGATAAGAAAAAAGCTTGCTGTTGGTTTAACAATGATTACTTTCAAAATTATGTGTTTTTTTCTCACTGGTAGAATACTCACATTTAAGTAGACATTTGATGAATGTGCATATTTATTGATAAGACTCCACACAGGACTCCTAATTCCATAGATTATAGGGGAGGATCATGGTACAAACATCCTCCTCCCTGATGAAGGGGCATGGCAGAAACTGAAGGCTATTGTGACTAAAAGGAAGCTCTGCAAGATTAATAACATATAACTATAACCTTGCCTCCAAGGGGGATCTAAGACTGTCCCCACAAGAATCTGAGAGACTATAAGAGGATATGAAGAGAACAGCTGAGGACCCTTATTTTTATTTATTTATTTATATTTAATTTTTTTTTCAGACATCAGTGTTACTTGCCAAGACCCTCATTTTTAAACTCCCACGAGTTATTATGTTCCTTTCCACTCTTGCTTTCCAATTCCTACACTAGGACAAGTCTGTATTTTGAGTATATGAGTCAAGTATGGCAAAAACTACAGTACTTTAAAAACTTTTATTTTAGTCCTTCCTGGCCCATGCTAAAACTTACATCTAGAAATATGGCAAAACAAAATGAAACAGATCTCTCCTTGTACATAAAATAGCTAAAAATTTGGCCTCTTTATTGATCTTATGTCATATATTTGGCTTGAAATAAAACAACAACAAAACAAACAGTTACAATTAAGGGTTATACAAACTAAATTTTTCTTCTAAATCTCTAAATGCGCTTAGAGAGCAACTTGCAGGGCATACACAGGGCCTTGAGAGTCGGTCCCACAGAAAATACTTATGTAAATGAAACAAGAAGGATGCTATTTGCTTTTCATTACATAAACATCACCTGAACTTAACTAATCAATCCACTTATTTGATAAAAATCATCTAGGACCAAAAGCACTATCAAGTTTGCTGGGTGCCATTTTCACTCTAATCATACCCAAAAGGCCTAGAAATAATTCGAAACTAGAAAGAGGCCCAAGTAGTAAGGCTACCTGTGGCTCTTGCTGAAAAACATTTGCCAGTCTGATGTGCGTGTGTCTAGAAAGAATGGTAGAAAATAAAGAGTTCTGCTTGAGTTCAGGAGAACTTCCCAGAAGGAGGTGGTGGGCCAAGAAATCCACCTGCCTGCTTGGTGGCGGCTCGTGAAGGGGCAAGGCCGAGAATCTTCTGAATGTTCTGTGAAGAAAACAGAGTAAGGATAGGGTTTTAATATCAAATATACAGAAGATGTATTTTATGTAGCTCTCAGGCAAAGGAAACTCATATAGATTAAAGGTATCATTATGACCTGCAATAGGATGATTATCACTATGTTAATTTTAAAAAGGCCTACAATGTAATGAAAATCACAGAACAGTAAAAGCCTTCCTTACCTGATGAGACCTTGGTCTACTAATGAAAGTGGTTGACTTTTTTCAAGCAGACAATGATAAAAGGAGATAATCTTTTTAACAAGAAGCATATGAAGAATATTCATTAGCTATTTCTTATGGGCATTTTCTTTGAGTATGGGTCTGCTGGCTGGATTTGTCATTACTGCACTGTCTATAATTTTCAGTTCTGGCCAGGTGTGGTGGCTCACGCCTGTAATACCAGCACTTTGGGAGGCCAAGGCAGGTAGATCACTTGAGGCCAGGAGTTCAAGACCAGCTTGGACAGGATGGTAAAACCCCATTTCTACTAAAAATACAAAATAATTAGCTGAGTGTTGTGGCGTACGCCTGTAGTCCCAGCTACTCAGGAGGGTGAGGCATGAGAGTCCCTTGAACCCAGGAGGCAGAGGCTGCATGAGCCAAGATTGCACCACTGTACTCCAGCCTGGGCAGCAGAGTGAGATTCTGTCTAAAAAATCAGTTTCAGTTTCTTTACAGTGTTGAAAGTAGTTAGAAACCTGCAAAGCACTCTGAGTTCAGAATTCTCTTAAATTTTCAGCACCCCCCATCTTTTTCCATTGTTTCATCTACATCTAATGCAATTTTTAAAGAAACTCACTTTTATTCAGTTTTTAAAAATGTATTTCATTCTCATAATAATGTTTTGTTTTGTTTTGTTTTGTTTTGTTTGAGGCGGAGTCTCACTCTGTCATCCAGGCTAGAGTGCAGTGGCGCGATCTCGGCTCACAGTAACCTCTGCCTCCTGGGTCAAGCGATTCTCCCTGCCTCAGCCTCCTGAGTAGCTGGGATTACAGGCGCCTGCCACCATGCCCAGCTAATTTTTGTATTTTTTTTTAGTAGAGATGGGGTTTCATCTCTACTAAAGTTCAATTGGCCAGGCTGGTCTTGAACTCTTGACCTCAGGTGATCTGCCTGCCTCAGCCTCCTAAAGTGCTGGGATTACAGGCGTGAGCCACCATGCCTGGCCAAAACCCCTCCCCGCCCCCCCTGCTTTTTTTTTTTAAGATGGAGTCTGGTTCTTGTCGCCCAGGCTGGGGTGCAATGGCATGATCTCAGCTCACTGCGACCTGCGCCTCCCGGGTTCAAGCAATTCTCCTGCCCCAGCCTCCCAAGTAGCTGGGATTACAGGCATGCACCACCACGCCCAGCTGATTTTTGTATTTTTAGTAAAGACGAGGTTTCACCATATCAGCCAGGCTGGTATCAAACTCCTGACCTCAAGTGATCCGCCCGCCTCAGCCTCCCAAAGTGCTGGGATTATGGGCATGAGCCACTGCGTCCAGCCAATGTAGCGTTTTATAAGAGGAAAAAAACCTTAGAGATCCTGATTATTCTTGCCCAATTCCTTCATTTTATATCTGAAGAAACTAAAACTCAGAAAGGTATGATAGATGGCTTATCCAGAATTACAAAGCTAAATTAAGAGCACAGTTAGAATTTAAACCTATTTTGTTTTGACCCTAAATCTAATGGATTCTCTTACACAGTAGTTTCTATGTTAAAGTTTTGCTCTTCAGAACAAACTCCATTCTGTGGTAGGCAGGTTTACATGCACTAAACTATTCATCCAGTAGTTACTGAGTACCTACTGGATACTATGAGAATATCCATTCCCAGGCTTCTCTGCAAGCATACACACCCTCAATCCTTCATCATGAAGAATGATGACTATTATGGATAAGAGTGTATACTGAGGTAACACTGTTAGAATACAACAGAATGTTTAAATATGGAGGACATAACTTTAAGGACTCATCTAAATTATATTTACCATAAAATATTTCAATACATACATTCCACAATACTATAGCTCATGCTTTAAAAAGACATCTGAAACAGGTGAAGAAAAAAATCAATCGTTAGTACATTAGGATACTTCTCCTTAGTAAAGATGGAAAATGATGTGACTTTGTATTTCTTTTTCTGAGATGCGGTCTTGCTCTGTCACCCAGGCTGCAGTGCAGTGGTGTGGTCACAGCTCATTGCAACCTCCACTTCCCGGGCTCAAGCATTCTTCCCACCTCAGCCTTCCGAGGAGCTGGGACTACAGGCATGCCACCATACCCAGTTAATTTTTGTATTTTTAGTAGAGTCGGGGTTTTGCCATGTTGGCCACGCTGGTCTCAAACTCTTGGGCTCCAGTGATCCGCTCACCTCAGCCTCCCAAAGTGCTGGGATTATCGGGGTGGGCCACCATGCCTGGTCTACTTTGCATTATCTTTTTTTTTTTTTTTTTTTTGAGGCAAAGTCTCACTCTGTTGCCAGGCTGGAGTGCAGTGGTGCGATCTTGGCTCACTGCAACCTCCGCCTCCCGGGTTCAAGCGATCCTCCTGCCTCAGCCTCCCAAGTAGCAGGGACTACAGGCGTGCACCACCATGCCCAGCTAATTTTTTGTGTTTTTAGTAGAGACAGGGTTTCACTATGTTGGCCAGGATAGTCTCGATCTCTTGACTTCGTGATCCACCCGTCTCGGCCTCCCAAAGTGCTGGGATTACAGGTGTGAGCCACCATACCCGGCCTACATTACTTTTATAATAAAAATAGCTCCTTAAAGCTCACCTCCAAAAAACCCATTACACAAAGCAGTAAAAAGATCAAATGATGTCACTAATTTGCAATTTCTTTAGTTAATTAATAAGTATTTCCTGAGCACCTACAATGTATTTAGCACTAAACTAGGCATTAAGGGAAATTGCTTTAAAGATAAAATTTGAAATAGTAAGACATACAGAATTAGCTGCTGATAAACATACTTGTCTAGTTAACAAATACAGTAATATAGCCTAGAAAAAATACACAAGGGATTCTTGCTCAGTTATTCTGAAGGGTCAAATAGATGAGTCCTTAAAACTTTAGTGATTAAAAACCAATGTAAAAATGTTGGATGCCCTTTATAGGTTTACTGTGATTTAAAGAAGATGATTGAAAAAATAAAAAATAAATAATATTTTGAAGAAATGAGAAACTGAACTGGTAGTCTGTTGAATTTCATTTACTAACTCAAAATATTTAAATGACTACTGGGTAAGCCACTGCTCTAGATGGGAATATCTCAAATAGCAATAGCAGCAACAAAAAAGTGTTAAAAATGAGACACTTCAGTAGCCACAAAGTACATGGAAATTCAGGCAACTCTATCCTTTCCATGTGGCTCTTGCCACAGACCCATTTTGGGAACACTAAATTAAATGTATCGGTGTTACATTACGCAAGTATTTGTATTTTAACACAAACACTCTGCATTTACTGCATGCAATTTTATCCTTTAGTGAAATTCTAAACTAATCTGTTTAAATTCCTATAGTCTCACAAGTGAAACCTAGGTCTTCTATTTTTCTCAGATAGACTTCCCCTGCTTTCCCATCAGTAAAATCTTTGTAGGAACTAAGTGATGGTCTCAAGATGCAAGAGCCACAGGTAAAAGGACCAGAGGTCACTAACATCTCTATAGTAGTAACATCCTACATTTCTACACACTTTAAAGTTTGCAAACAGTTCTAAGGACTAGATAGTAGTCCTTAGTTATCCCTGCTGTTGAGATGAGAAAGTTGATGCAGGGAGAGGTTACAAGTCAGAAAGTGAACTGATACAACTCAAAGTGCAGTTTTCCTTTATTAAGCCACCTCTCTGTAACAGACTGTTACCTTAGGAATAAGAAAGTCACATAAAGAAGTAAAAAAAAAAAAAAAAAAAGAATAAAATATCGTATAACAGGCCTATTTTTTAAAAATCACAATTACGTTGTTAAATGAGCAAATGCTTTCTCTCTCTCTCTCTCTATATATACACACACACATATATACACACACACGCATACACACACACACACATATATATATACCCATGCACATATAAAATATAGTTGCTATGCAAAAAACCCGTGGAATGTACAATGCAAAGAATGGACCCTAATATAAACTATGGATTTGGGGGTAATAATGATATGTCAGTGTAGATTAATCAATAATAACAAACGTACCACTCTGGAGGAGAAAGTTGATAGAGGGGTGTGCTATGCATATGTGGGGGCAAGGCATATATATGAAATCGCTGTACCTTCCACTCAATTTTGCTGTGAACCTAAAACTGTTCTAAAAAATAAGGTCTTTATATAAAAAGGAATATAAAGTATTTAAGAATATATAGTAAGATAATAGTTGTATTAATAATAGTTGTATACTTTTTCTCATACCTTGCCTTCCCCAACTTTCTGAAATACTGCTAAGTGGAATACTTTTAAAATAAAGAAAAATATTCTTGTGGGTGCTATTTTAAAGTGAAGGTCATAGTATGAAGCGAAAAAAAAGAATAACAACAATAATAATGGTTAACAGTTACTGAGTACTTACACTCTGCAAGGCATTGTTCTAAGCACTTTATGTATATGTTCTCATTTAAATCCTCACAACTTAATGAGGTGGACATTATTATCCTTGCATGCAGATAAGAAAAATAAGATACCAACTGTCAGGCTGTAATTCAATAAATTCACTGAATATCACACTGTACAACAGGCACTTTTGTAAATATTATCTCCTTACATCTTTCAACAATTTCATCCATTAAACTTAACCTGACTGCTTTCCTATAATCTCTCAATTTTTCTTTCTTTCTTGAGGTCAAGTTTTCAGGCCTTGTTAATTAGCAAGATTTAGTTTAGAAATATGCATTTAGGCCAGGACTGGTAGCTCACGCCTGTAATCCCAGCACTTTGGGATGTCAAGGCGGGTGGATCATCTGAGGTCAGGAGTTTGAGACCAGCCTGGCCAGCATGGTGAAACC